AACCAACAAACAAACAACAGGAACAAAGTAACTCTTACGCATAAAGGCATAAAAGTATAGCTTCCACTGAAATCAAAAATAGGTAGGTGTGCTTGTGCCAATATTCATGCCAAACGTGCCTGGCATAAAGAGACGATGAGAAGCTTTACAACCAGAACGCAAAATGAGACTAGACATCCTGAACTGGTGATTCTCTCTCCGACCAATCAATATCCACTGATGTTCATTACCTGCAAGTCAGCCTGAATTAAAACTGCTTCTAGTGAAAAATATCAAAGTAATGATCACCTAGAAGTTGTATTGCCCAAGTTACTGCCACATATAGTGCTACCAATCCAGGCCATTCACCTTCTGTCTCTGAGGAGCAGCATAAAGATCACACTGGTCAGAGTACGGCACTCAGATGAATACCCAGTCAATGCATTTGTACACTGCATCATCAAAGCAATTCACAAACCTCACATGGTAAATTGCCACTTACACTTACAGTAACAGATGCATAGTTTGCAACTGCTAACAACCGCTTATCATTTCTCTGAAAATTTACCTTCTCATGGCAGAAAACTTGTTGCCTGAATGCTGCTGAAAAAGTTGGGTATAAAATTCCTTTTCCAGCACTAATAATGGCAGCCTACATGTTTAAACATGAACTACATGACGACTGTGTCCCCATTTAATCCATTCACTTGAACTTACTAGGTGATGCCACTTGGAACGGCAGTCCCATTCCTTTCCCTCGGTCTGGTCGTGATCCTGTTGGCAGTTTATGCAAGTGCTCACATTTCAGCTGGCCTCAGTAGGGCCACCTCCAGCACAGCCACTAAGCAAGACCCAGCCTCTTGCAGAGCTCACAGTTTTCAGGATATTGCTTCATCCAAATATGCAGTGCCAGCCACATAAGCAAATGGTCAACTGATGAAAACTTTTAATTAATTCCTAACAATCATATGTAAATGCCCAAAGTGTTGTACTCCTGATGCTGAAGAATGACTTTTTTTGTGATTTTCTTTTAAGCTCTAAGAGATTTTTGCTCCAAGGTACAGAGTGATGTATTTTGGTAATGAAAAAGTGTTCTCATCAGCAAGCACAGTCCCACAATCCTTACAGAGGTAAACCGCTCACCAAAATATTGAATGTCTAATTGAAACACATGGGAATCTTGCCACATTATAAAGTCTGGGCTGGATCCCAAAACTATTAATACAAAACGTTACTCTGCTCCTATCTTTATTAACATGAGTTATTTGGCTTTACTGGTATTTGCAGGCTGAGCATTCATTCAGTTAAACACTGCCCTCTCCTGGAACCTTCTGACATTTTTTGGCACTTAGAGTAAGATCAGCTAAGGCTTTTCCAGTCACTGTGAATGCAATAGTATTTTGTGAACAATTTCAATCTGACACTGGAAAACCGATGCTCTGTAGGGAGTACCATGATTTACACAACTCTCATAGTGTATGACTTGCATATTCCACTGTTGTCTACTTACAGGTCTCTAACGTCATATGAAACATATGATCTTCCCAAATAAGTAAACAGTGTATGAATCTGTGCCAACTTTCCAGAGCTTTTAAAGACTGCAACATCAGAGAATAAAAAACTGTACCTTCTACAGAGCTTGTTGTACGGCAAGGCATTTTTGGACCATCCACTGTCTCAAATTGGTTTGAATTAATACTCTATAAAAAAAATTAAAATGACAGTAACTGTATTTGATGCCCATGACATTTATCTGAAAACTTAAGAACAATATCAAAGACTAGCAAGCAAATAGGTTATAATCATTAATATAATGATTGACAGAGATTCCACAGAGTATTTTATCAGCTACCCTCCAGACAAAACCAATAGCAATTCCTCAAGAGAGAAATGGGTAAAATATATCAAACTACAGAGAAACATTACCTCCTGCTTACAATACACAAGGGATCTAAAGGATCAGACTTAGCATTTGTACATCATCGTTTATAATCTCCTGCTCTATGAGAAAAGCATCACAGCCACTTTGCACAATGTCTCTGTTCAGAAGTCTAGTTAACCTTCAAAGCATCCCTACAAAGCGAGCAATTTTGACAGACAGGAAATAGAAAAAGCCTAACCCATGACCAAACACTGACCATGCAGTAAACTCAGCCTGGAAGGTGGCAGTCAATCCCTCCCCACATCCGTGGTCCCTGGCCAAGCTGACCCCTTGGCTCAGACACACACATCAACTATATCACTCCTGCTCAAAAGGAAGAGGGGGCTAAGATCCAGTTCTTATTTTAGCAATTACCTTCAAAGATTATAAGGAAAGAGGGGGGAGGGGTGGGGCGGGGAACAGAATGTCTCCTTTTGCATAGTTTCATTTACAACTCACTTGCTCCTAGTCTTTCCCTCTACTTAGGTTGCCTCTGTATTTGCCATCTACCAGCGCAGCTGATAGAGAAATGGTGTGGTAACCTGAATACAAAATAAAAAGTCAGGGATGACTCCAGGCTGAATATTGCAGCCAAACCAATTTGAAAGTCACTCAGCTGTCCAGCTAGCTATATCCCCCACCTTGGTAGGGCTAGTTGCATTGTTCTCTGCTCATCTGTTGGTATGTGAGACACTTTCCTACTCCCACAGGTACCAGGCAGAAAGAAGTCAACTCCTTGGGAAACTACTAAATCTGTCCACCACCAGGCAATAAAATTACTTAAATTATCATAAATTATCTTAATAATTTTGGATTATTACCCAGGTTTGGCCTTTTCTTTTTTATTACCCTGACACCACTTCACATGTGTCCATTAGTCCTCGGATTTCTTTTCTCTCGTAGAGGACCTCTCCCCTGCACTGGCTGTGCTACCTCCAGCAACTGAGACAGCCAAACAGATCACCTCCACACACTGCTTAGGGCTCTGTTGGAGGTGCACAACAAACCACACAACCTCACTGATGGGCGCTGCTACCACAACAGTGATTTCTGCCCCAAGGAGGTTGCAGAATTCAAGTAATTCCACACTCTTCCTCATCATCTTCACAAATCTCTCCTCTGTATTGCCTAGCACAGCCACAAAACCTGCGGGTTTATATTTTTTGAACTGCAGAGCCCCTGAAGGTTTCCAGTGAAGGCATGGCTTCTGTATGGGTACCTCCAGCTTATCAACAGCTTGTTTGTTTTAACTTTTCCATTACTCTTTTTGACCTGTAAGGAACAGTCAAGGACTAAAAGAACCCACAGACCAGGGACTGAAGAACATACTTGAGAAAGATCGTGATTTGAATAAATGCAAAAATAGTTTATGCTGCTCCCCAAGTCATCCATTTCACACACAAATTCAACACTGCATGCCACCATATGTGAGACAAGCTCCCTCTCTTTAGTCCAGGTCTTTCTGACCCAAGTCTAAAATACAAACATGGTCATTTATGCAGTCTCAGGACACAATAAACTAGATGTACAGATTTTGCTGTAGATGAGCCGAATACTCCAGTACAGCAATAAATTCTACCTCTATTTCAAAAAGACTATGTATCGTAAAATCTCTAATGTCCTCCTTATGCTTTGGATCCAACTAAGGGCTGCAAGTTCTTGTTTACAACAGAAACAAAATTAATTTTACTTTACCTTTTGGACATAACACATAGTCTGAACATGACAGTTTGATCATCACCTCACATACAGTTCAGGAGGGTATCTGGTGTATAGGAAATGAACTAAACCATGTGATCCACTCAATTATTCTGGTTTATTTCTGCTTTATTAAGAGTAGTGCAACACTGATGCTGGGCAGGAGGGGAGGGGAATAGGATTCCTACAACAGAGGTTCTAGACTGCTGCAACTAGATGAATTAGCAAAAGGGGAACCCACAAGTGAAGTGTAGTAGGCTTCTTCCTGAAAATACCAAGTGCAGAATTTTGCAGCTTTTAAGAGTCTTTGAGAGTCAGGCAAACATCTAACATACCACACTTTCTTTTTCCATTTCAAAGACTAAACTAAGAACAAGGATTTGATGAGTGCAAGAAAAAGCCAATTATATAAATAACAATGCATTCCTCATTACAGTCTTCATTTTGCTGTTGGGTTTACTATTGTTTCCATGGAAAAGCCACACACAAATTGTAGGTATTCTGCAAGCTACAAACACAGAATAACTTCTTTTTATTGGAACAAATCAAAATCTTGGCAGTGTAGTTACACAAGATTATAAATAAGGACTATACAATGCATCACACATTAAGTTTTTGTGTTAAACACAACACAGGGATCACGTTCTACATGAAAAAAACCCATGCAGAACGCAATAAAGGAAAATCAGCACACAAATAAGGAAACTTTAAGTTAAGCATGGAAAAGAAAACCTGAATTTTAAGATGAGAAAAAGAGAAAAGCCTATTTTTAGTGTGGTTTTTGTTCACTAGTTTTATACAGTCTCAATCTAAAAACATAAGTGAGCACCTACATTGCTATTAAAGAACTTGTGCTTTCAAGTGTTCTCCTTACTTCACTGAAACTGAGAGATGTCCTGAAGAGTATCACAATACTGCTCCGGACACCTTACAGCAAAATAAGACCCACTACACCAGAACTAAATTCTATAGCAAAAGTAGTCTGTACCCTGTATTTCTTTGGTAAATACTAGTCTGGTGGTTCTCTTGCTAAAAGGCTCCCAGGTACCACACTACTAGACAAAACAATGGAACTAAATTAAGTATTTCAAAGTAACAGTGTGACTACAATGGCAATGCAATTAAAGACACAGAGATTTTAGGGAAAGACATTCACTGTACAGTCCACAATGATTCAAAACCAACTTGGGAAGTAAATAAGGCTGTGACGAAGTTCACAACATCTCTTATCCTCCAGCCTCATACGCACAATGTGCTACACTTACACAAAGCAGAAGTCCACAACAACAATCCTGCAGTTAACGCTGGCCGCTAGTGACACAGGCAGCTTAAGCTAAAAAGCTAGTCAAGAAAAACAAATCCAGCCTGAAGAGTCTATATCTGGAAATTCGTGAAGAAAATCTGTGACAATGCCCTGAGCTAGACAGTTACCTACCTGGTAAAGAAGAGGTCTGTCCCAGAAGTATTTTCTGAAGAGGTTAATGTCCGACTCCAGCAAGTGCTGTGCAGTGTGGCTAAATGTCAGCGTCAGAGCTCCCGATGAATGAACAAACTGCACGCAAGCACTCTTGCTGATCTTCACTCTTGAAATGTCAAGCAAGTGACTGCCCTGGAAACTGGAACGACATGCTCTTTAAACCAAAGCGGATGCTCCGCGCACAGGTAGAATGAAAGCACAGCCACAGTGAGCTTCCTGCTAGCCTTCGGCACAGCCTGTCAGGACCCCAATGCACCTGCTGCAAAAAGCGGAAAATCTGAAACATCCACCGAAAACACACCTGCGCAAACAAATACTTACCAAAGACTCCACTGAGGCCTAAGAACACACAGCTACTTCTAGCCATCAGTGGGGAAAAAAACAATGGCAGCTATAGGTGGTTACTCACTAGTAAAATTAGCCAGAAACAGCAAGCTGTGACAATACCTATTTCTCCTTATGGCTGTACATTAGCAATAGTACCTTTTCCTGCTAATGTTGCCATATATAGCAGCAGGACACAACATGCAGCTAGCAGGTTTGTTATCCCATGACAGTGAAAAGCAGAAAGTATCTCAAGGGAATAGAGCATTGTTTGGACGTTACAAACAAATGAGACATTCATAACATAATGTACTGTACCGGTGTGGTAAGTGGGTTTTTTTCCAAACTGAAGCATGGGTAAGTTTCACATAAACTATACACTGCATGAAGCCAGAACCAAAAAAGCCACATACCAAAATAAAAATGTAACCCAATTCTTACATATTTCTATTTGCAAAGAGAAGCCAACAGTGAGAAGGCATCTGATGCTGAACATTTGGTACCCCAAGAGACGTACATGCACACACACCACGCAGCTCCTCAGGTCCGTACAGAGGAAACTCCAGACAGCTGAAACGTGCCAGAAAGCACTTGTCCTTTAAGTCATTTGTCAGTGTGGCAGCTCTCTGGCAAAACACAGTAATAGCTGCAGCACTGCTGACTCTCCCTTATTCTTTCAGATCTGAGCCTTACAAAGGTCACAAGTCTGCTGAGGTTTTGTGAAAGTCATAGAATCACAGAATCACAAGATTGGAAGAGACCTCTAAGATCATCAAGTCCAACCATCAACCTCATGCCACCATGTCCACTAAACCCTATCTCAAAGTGCCACATCAACACATTTTTCTAACACCTCCAGGGACAGTGACTCCACCACTTCCCTGGGCAGCAATCAGCCTCCTCTTCTCCAGACTAGACAACCCCAGTTCCCTCAGCTGCTGATCATCAGACCTGTTCTCCAGAACCCTCACCAGCTTCGTTGCCCTTCTCTGGACACGCTCCAGCACCTCAATATCCTTCTTGTAGTGAAGGACCCAAAACCGCACACAGTATTCGAGGTGCGGCCTCACCAGTGCCCAGTACAGGGGCACGATCACCTCCCTGCTCCTGCTGGCCACACTATTGCTGATCCAGGCCAGGATGCTCTTGGCCTTCTTGGCCACCTGGGCACACTGCCGGCTCATGTTCAGCCGGCTGTCGACCAGCACCCCCAGGTCCTTTTCCTCTGGGCAGCTTTCCAGCCGCTCATCCCCAAGCCTGTAGCGCTGCATTGGGTTGTTGTGACCCAATTCCAGGACCTGGCACTTGGCCTTGTTGAACCTCATACAATTGACCTCAGCCCAGGTCCTATGGTTCTGTTTATATCTAAATATCTCTAAATATATTTTTTAAGAGAGATCTTTACTTGTTGTTAATGTGTCAGGATTCAGCTGCAATAGTGCTGGGAGAGGTACCTGATGGTGCAACTGTTCCTCTGTCACATAACTGACTATTAATTGACTTGCAAATGTAACGACGGACGCAAAGCATAAACTTCCTTTAATTGTAATACAAGTTCACCCCTTAAAATTGGAATAATGTCAATAAACAACAGAAACCAACACAAAATAGGCAAGTCTTGAGAAAAACAACAGTACTCCCCACACCCCTTAAGTGATAGGAGTTTTTCAAAGAAAGCAGCAACTGTTATACTCACTTTGTGAAGACCTCAACAAGTTTGGAGTGCCCATTTTGTAAAGCCAAATCTAATGGTGTTGCTCCATCCTCATTAGGTAATGCTAATGCTGATGAGCCTCCAGGCTGGGCTGCTAAGAACTGGGAAAGCTTAACCAAGCCCAATTTCATCACAAGGTGGAGAAGTGTTTCTTTACGTTTAGGCTCTGAAAAAACACAGCAAACAAACAAAATCCTGAGTAATAAAACCAGGCATTTTACTTGCTAGAAGGCATCAAATGAAACTTGTTATCAACTGCAGAAATATCACCACTCAGGTTGAGATCATCAAAAGTACTTTGGCAGAATCCAAACTAGGATATCCAAATACCATCTAATTTCAGCAGTCAAAGAAAACAGCTTGAATTAGACAATCTCAGTATTTCTGTCTTTCTTTGTATATAGCATAGCATTCAGCACAAAAGATGCCCTAAGATACTGCAGAAGATAGTTAAGAGGCAATTTCCCAGCTGCTTTGCATTGCCTCAGCAACACAAAACACCTGGGAAAAAGAAAGAAGAAGGAAAGAGAAAGGGGAAAGGGGGAAAGGAGGAAAGGGGTGATTTTTTCAAGGCAGGTTGCTTATCAGCATGGTAAGAGATCCTCAGCAGCACAGCAAGACATTAGCTAACACACATGTGGGTAATACATACAGGATAATTCTTGTGTTTCTCTTTTCAGAAAGGTGACCTCACCTGCCAACACTTCCTCTTCCACTTTTTAGCACATAATCATCAAGCCCAATGAGATGAAGCTTAAAATAAAAGAGTATACAATGATGACTTGGTCGCTAGATGTGGATTTTCCACTCAAGCCCTTCCCTGGCCTCTATTTAAACAAGGGTTTATCTGTCCACATAAATTCTCAAACACAAAGCCTCTGAAATTCAAAGCAAATAAATAGAATTAAGCTCAAGTGCCACTCAATCTGTTCCATACACTTTTTGTATGAAGTTAAAGGGTACTTTCACAAGGGTCAAGTATTTAAGGGCAGTTACTCTACAGCTCTCAGAACAACTAGCTGAAATCTGTTAGGTGTCAGTGATTTATGACATTCCATTGAAATTTATCATCCTGATTCCACAGACTTTTTCTTCCCTGTTACCCAACCAGTTCGGAATATGTATTGAAAATTAGACACTCCAGTGCTAAAGGAAACGTGAAGCTCCTGAAGCATATGTAGGTATGTGCACACATTTGTGTAAATAATACAGTTAAAATCCACAGCAAATTGCTGTCAAATTTCCTCTCTGCATCCATATTTACAAGCTAAAACTGTCTGTTGGAAAGCAATCCCCCAGCAGAGAGAGCAGTTATGTAGCCAAAAACGTAATAAACACGTTTTTCAGAAACACGCATTGAGCAAAGGTATCATGTAGTTACACACAAATACAGTGGCTCATGGCCGACTCCTATTCAGTTTAAGTGCTCCCTCTGAAAGTGTCAGCAACACTTATTTATAGAATCATAAGAAAAAAATAACAACTTTGAAGAGTTCTCAAGAGGTCTCTAGTCCACTCCTTGCCTTAAGGCAGGATCAGCTAAACCTAAATTGCTCCTGACAGGTGTTTGTCTCATCTGTTCTAAAAACCTTCCAACGATGAGAGGTTTTCATAACCTCCATAGCAATTTACACAAGGGATAATTTTACCCTCACAATCACAAAGATTTGAAATGCCTAACCTGCCTCACCCTTTCTCAGTACAAGCCTGCTGCTTCTTGTCCCATACGAAATGGGCACGAAAAACACTTCATTCCTTTCCCCTCGCAGCTTCCTTTTACAGAATTTTAGGCTGCTGTCAGGTCTCAGTTAAGTACATCCTCTCCGGACAGCTTAACAGAAGAGTTGCCTCCTGCAAAGCTGGACCTTTTGGAACGTCCTTTCAGAGCTGGAGGCCAAAATCATTAGCCTCCTTTGAAAATGTTGGACTTGAAGTGTTATAATAATAAAAAAACTTGTATCTCCCCATCTCATAAAGCCAGAATGGCAAGGAACCTAAGGAACTTGCTTTACCGCTCCACAGAGAAAACTACTGAGTGATCTGCACTGGTGATCAGTTTTTGCTCTGAATATTTGGCGGTTACCCATCCAGACTTTTTACCTTTCCATTTCAAATGTAATCAAAACTTTAAGAGAGAGTCAAATCACAGAAAAACAGATCAAGCTTCCTTTAATAAATGAAACAAATTCCGGACATCAGAGTAAAAGGGAGCTTCAGGACACAAGACTCTAGTACTGTAACAGCCAGCAAACCTGCACGTAGCATCTGAAGCCTTTATTGCACTGCAGTTCTAACAGAAGCAGACACATTAACAAGATGCAGGAGGGAGTCTTTAACCCAGAATATCACTAAACATATACACAATATGTACCTAAGTATTTCTAGAACACACATAGAAAAAGTCACGTCATTATTTTTTAAAAAATTAATCTTCAAAATTCCCTCTTACTTGTGGCTAGCCAACACGTAATCTGGTGCATTAGCCTTCCCATGCAACACTTACTTTCTCCCTAGGTTTGGGGCAAATACGATTTCTTTGTCTCCCCATTTCAGATTCGAGGCAAAAATGTGTACAGCTGGACACAGGATCTGCTGCAGGATCCTAGGCCACAGAGGAAAGTAGTAAACTACGGGTTTTTTCCTCAAAGGTCTGCAAAATAATTCTCATTTCAGTCTTCGGAGACAAAGATCATTGCTGCATTTTAGTTACCAACATTAATCACTAATGACATCAATTATAGTGTTTACATATCTATTAAGCAAGATGGCATATATATTTCCAAGTTTTCAAGCACATGCAACATTTAAGTCCACTGAATCTAACTCAAGCATTTGCAGAACTGCTTTGCTAAAGGGCAATACAGAACTACAGAATGGCTTGGGTCAGAAGGCACCTGTAAAGATCACCTAGTCCAACCCTCCTGCCATGGGCAGGGACATCTTTCACTAGATCTGCTTGCCCAAAGCCCCATCCAACCTGACTTTGAACAATTCCAGTAACAGGACAGCCGCAACTTCTCTGGGCAATCTGTTCCAGTGTTCCACAATCCTCATCATAAAAAAAATTTCTTCCTTATATCCAATCTAAATATAGTCTCTTCCAGTTTAAAATCTTTGCCCCTTGTTCTGTTGCTACAGGCCCTGGTAAAAAGTCTTTCTCCATCTTTCTTATAAGCCCCCTTTATATATTGAAAGGCTGCAATAAGGTCTCCCCAGAGACTTCTCTTTCCAGGCTCATAGAATAGGTGCTCCAGCCCTCTGATGATTTTCATGGCCCTCCTCTGAACCTGCTCCAACAGGTCCATGTCTTCCTTGTGCTGGGGATCCCAGAGCTGCATGCAGTACTCCAGGTGGGGTCTCGAGAGCAAAACCCAGAGTGAGTGAGTGGCGGGCTAAAGTCAGCCCATAGGGAATATGGAGGCATGAGGATCTGACTCCAACACACAGCTTCAAAGCCCAACCAAGCACTACTCATCAAACATCTTGGTCTACCTGGATCTGAGACCGTCTTCTATGGAAGAACATCTAAATGAGCAGGGCTCAGACTTCCTAAAACCCATGCAGAGATGGCTGATATGCCACTTCAAAAATGGGAGACCTCAGTTCAACTTCCTCCTCAGTCAGATGAGATTTGAACTGACACACATCTTCAAACTTCCTCTGATTACTCATCTGGTGGAAGCATGGCTTGTCCACTCCATTGCAGAGTATTTGAAATGTGTCATGGTTCAGACGGAAATCCAAGGGATGTGGTGCAGAAGACCAAGAAAACAGCAGACTAACTACAACACAACAATCAGCTGGTAGAAGCCTCTGCTGTTTGGCCACAGATGAGTTTCTCATTATATCGTCATCAGATGTGAAAAACAATGCTGGGAGCCCAGGTGTCTCACTTGCTCAGAGGATGCCCTTATCATTCAGATACAGTACAAAAATGCGTGCCAGTATCTTCCCTCTCCCTAAGTATGTTTCTGAACAGAGAGTGATAACATCATCTTTGCTTTGCACTGGCCCTAGTTCTATTTCTGTACTTCAGAGAGTCTTCCCACAGCAAGGACTTTAGCAGACTTTAGGCTATGCCATGAGCCTGGACCCCAGCAGAACACCACTGGATGCCAGGCACCAGCACTCCCTTGTCTGGCATGTTTATGTGTCATCAGATAGTTCGAGTTTAGATGCCCAGGAATTGCTGTGGTCCAAAACATAGGCCCTGAACGAACATTATGTATTCCCAGGTCAAAATGCTCACTAAAAAATGAGCTTTCAGAATTATGCCTGGGTCTGGAGTACTTAAATCCTGTTAAAGCCCCACTTTAGACATCAAAGTGGGTTCTTTGGATGCTTCCAACTAGACAATTTTTTCTATATACAGTGTTAATAAGCAGCCAGCACATAAGTCCATCTGATTAAAACACATGCAAATATATCAACCAGTATTAAGCACACTAAGCAACTGATCAGGTACTAACCACACCCCAACCCTCAGATTAAAACCACAGAAACAAAAATGCAAACTTTGAACTCCATCCTATGATTAAAACTTTGGCCTGGGGCCACTGGGTTTCAACATATATTGTAACACTGTAAAAAAGACAGATAAACTTGCTCTGGACAAGATAAGATTAGGACTTTCGCACTCAGCAAAAAGGGAGACCCTAGGAAGGCTTCCCTAACAAGGGATAGCCTACTTTCTGCTCTGACACTGCTGCAAACAAAGTACCCTTCTGGCAGCCAAATCTTAAAAACAATGCAGTATGAATAAGTCTGCTACAAAAGAACCTAGTTTTAAAAACAACTAATAAACAATAATCAAACTTCACAGTCTTGAAACACCATCTACAATAACAACTTCTAGTAACTGATTTTTATCTATCCAACCTAACAATCTTTATCTAACCTTAAGCTAAATTTGTTCATGGCTAGGTTGAATGCACATGGTAGCAGAAACACCCAGCAGCTCCACTGGCTGTTTTCAGCCCCGATGCACTTAGAAACAACACTCACATTCCTCCTCATCCTTCACCTCTACAGACTATGTCTTTGCTGGGCTACCCGCCTCTCATTACTCCCACCTGGCTTGCCCAGGAGTGAGCAGAACCTGATGGCACAAAGCAATTACTAATAGCTTCACAATACTAAAATCTGAAATAGAAACAGTAAAGCTGA